AAAAAAAAAAAAAAAAGTATAAATCCTGTACTTCACTGAAAAGCCAAACCCATTTTGAAATCTCTGACTTCACTAATTCCCAAAGAGTAACTTACTTTAATGTGATGTACACCATTCAGTTTTCCAATCTGCTGTTCAATGGTCCAAACACAGGAACTACACGTCATCCCCTCAACAGAGATGGTGACAGAATTCACACCCATGCTTGGATCCATTTTGATTTCTTCTTTACATTCCTATTAGAAACAATGAATTCATTAATTTCAGTCATGGAAATAACACTTCCTTACTTTCCCCCACCTCCGTAATTGAAAATATAGTACTAATAAAATATAGTCAGTACTTTTTCTTTTAAATCCTCACCCAAGGACATTTTTTCCATTGCTTTTCAGAGAAAGTGGAAGGGAGAAAGAAGAGAGAGAGAAACAATGATGTGAGAGAGACACATCAATTGGTTGCCTCCTGCATGCACCCCAGCCAGGGCCAGGGATCAAGCCTGCAACTGAAGCACATGCCCTTGACTGGGAATCAAACCCAGGAACCTTCAGTCCGTGGGCTGATGCTCTAACTAGTGAGTCAAACAGGTTAGGGCTATAGTCAGTACTTTTTAAAAAATATATCTTTATTTCAGAGAGAAGAAGGGAGTGGGACAGAGAAAGATAGAAACATCAATAATGAGACAGTCACTAACTGGCTGCCTCCTGCACACACCCCACTGAAGATCGAGCTCGCAACCCGGGCATGTGCCCTGACCGGGAATCAAACCTTGATCTCCTGGATCCTAGGTCGATGCTCAACCGCTGAGCGACACCAGCCAGGCTAGTCAGTACTCTTTTCTGTCACCTCATGTTAGTTGCACTTCAGGGCTTTTGCTTTAATTATTCCCTTGGGCTGGGACTTTCTTCTTCCAGATATCTGCTTTGCTAACTTCCTTGTCTCTTTCAAGTCTTTACTCAAATCTAACCTACTTAATGAGTCTTACACTGACCATCCTGTTAAAATTGCAACCTACATCCTTCCACAAAAACATACTCTGGCTCCCCTTACCTCTGCTCTATTTTTCCTTTTTCACAGAACTTACCACCTTCTAATGTGCTCCATACTTTACTTATGTTTATTGCTTATTATCCGTCTTCCTGTGATGGTTTTCAAATATGTTCACAATGGAAGCATAGATGAGACTGACAAATGTCAGAGGGATGTCAGAGGGATGGCAGAGGGCGGGTGGGTGGAGGGGGAGAGAGTAACCAAAGAATTTATATGCGCATATGCACAACCCAA